AATTAGAAGTTTAAATAGGTGGGTCCCTTCAGTACGGAGATCCGGAAAAAAGTATGAAAGTCTATTTGATATTTGCCACTTTGAAAGCTTCCTGCTACAGTGAAGTCAATAAGGGAAAAGAGTGGTAAACATGGTGTATATAGGCTACCCAGAAGTTGTCATTATTGTTTCCCTCCAGTTTTGTAATCTCAATTCTGCCTTTAGGTTATTTATAGTTTCCATTTATAAAAAAAGATAAACAAGGCTTTGATAAAGTGATAAAGTTCCAAACTTGAACATATCCATTTCTACGCATTGAAATAAAAATAAAATCAGCATAGACTCTATACCAAAGATTTATAAAAATGAGTGAAACGCAAAATAATGTTTTACTATTTATAATAATAATAAAGTAACTATGTTGAAACCTCTAAAAACTAAATATATAATGATAGAAAAAAACTATAAAGTCCGTATGTATCCCTCACACAAAAAAATTAAGGTCATGGTATCATGCCATCAATTGACAAGAAACATAAATAGGAAACTCAAAAGCCTACAGTCTTCAGACCCACGAATAAGACGAACGTCCTGTGTCGGTATTAAATTTGAGTCTATTATTCAGGAATTCCCTGTCAAAATCAAGGCGATGAATAAAGAAAATTACTCTGAGTAAACGCTCAAACGTAAGTATCATCGTAAAGAAAACCGAACTAGAAATTCCAGGAAAGAAATACCAGAAAAGACAAGTATGGGTATAATCCTCAATATAGATTCTCATCACAAAACCTAAAAAAAATGGAATATTGTATTTTTTTATATATATAAAAAGAATGAACAATGTTAACTGAATTCCATAGTAACAGCATGATAAAAAAAACGATCCGGGTTAATAAATCTGCTAAAAATATATAATTTTTTGAATTTTCAAAGCAAAATAAAACATATATTCACATATATAAATACGTAAAATTCATCATGTCTTGGATACCTTTGTTAGAACTCGCTGTTCAAATATTGCACTTATTGATTTTATCTCCTCAGATTCCACAGCACCTGAATACATATATAACATTCACATACAATAATTCTTTAATTCCAGGATGGGGAAAAAGAAATGATATCGTACAAGATAATATGGTTTAATTATTTTCTTTCTTAACAACTTCTCTTCTACGTATAATGTAGATAAAGATTTCATCCAGCACTTTATAGTGGATAATTTATGGTCCTGTAATAATGAAAAAAAGAAGTCGCAAAAAAGGGGTGAGCATGCAAATATAATTATTAAAACAAGTATCGTGAAAAATATATATAATAAAGTGTTAGTAGTAACTCCACTATCAAAAAAAAAATAAGTACCTCAAAAGGAGGGAAAATAATAGCAACCCAGTAGAAACATTTTTTGATATCAATCTGAAATTCTCAATTCGTTGAGAATATAAAGAAATGAATAAATATAGTAAGGAACTTCTAAATTGGAGTGGAAACATTTTTCAATTACTTATTTTTAACGTGTTCGATTGAAGGAAAGGTGAACAATGTCATGAAACGACCCCGTAACCTTTCTCATTCCATCCTTATCCTATGTTAATGAAGAAGTTTTTTTATCTGCATAAGTTTTGTAGCCTTCAAAAAGGCTCTACCTCTGTGCCTAAAACTCAGGCAATCTACACAAACATGTTGTTAGATAATAACTTTTGAATTCTTTGCAAGACTTGATGATCTTTCAGCCTCACTGGAACCTTTTGATGGGAAAAATATAAAAAAATCATTCGTAACAATAAAACTACAACATTTCTAAAATTCCAGTGAAGGTAAATTTTAAAAAAACATAACGTGTTCAGTCTTCTCCAGATCCAAACATTATTACCCTTATCCCTACTGGACCTACGGTAGGATGGTGCATTATTTAGAGAACTACACGAGACTTTTCTGCTCTTTTTGTACAATTACGCATCATCTCCTAACCCATCTCATATCTACATGTCTTTTATTGATTCATCATACACACCTCAACTCGTGAATCAAATGCAAACATCCATACCACTGTAGAATGTGATCTGGGGCTGACAACCAAGAGAAAGAATAGTATGAAATACTGCCTATCGCGTTCACATTTGGCTGCATCAGCTCGGTGTTTCGCTTCGCTATGGTGTGTCCTATACATAAAATGTGCATGGGTAAAACCCAAAACTCAGTAATCACACTAGATTGTGAGCACTTTTTGCGTGGTCATGGTATAGATGTACTATGATCGGAACACTGTTTAGGTTTTTGGTAGCATTCTTTCTTTCCCCTGTGGCACGCAGATTAATTTTAGGCATGCGCAATGTTCAGCGCGGACACTCATTGATCGTCTGGAAGGAAACATGATAAGTGGAGGAATGCCCTACTTTTGTCGTTAGCTCTGAAGGTATCAACAGAATCCAAGTCGTTGCTAAGAACTGTCCTTGAGACCTCCTTCATTCTGGCAGCTTCCGCACCACTCCTAAGATGTTCTAAATCATCTGGGGTATAAATGCGCGCGAATTTCGGAAGTATCGGTATAAACATATTATGGACTGACAAGGGTAAGGAACTTGTGTCTTTATGTAGAGGATCATTACAGAATTGAATGTAACCTCCCCCAGAACTTAAGACGGAATCAGCTTCGCTACAAGTGTCATCTTCATCTATCGAAGTTGATTTCTGAGCACGATTCTTGATGAATCTACTGCAGCGATTCAACAGCTCAGCACGGCATCGCTGACCTCCCACATGAGAAATCGAAGTTCCTTCGAAAGGATCAGGGCTAGAATTGCGTGCGGGACGGTTATCGCCGTGTCCTTTCTTCGTTTCATTGTTATTGGGCGAGATAAAAAAACTACGCCGCGATAAGGAGAGCACGCGGGCAAGACGAAATCGTGGTTGCCAAGTATCTCGCCGTCTTGCGGCGCGATGCCTGCTCCCAAAAGTAAAGCTGTCGTCCTCCACCATGGCCGATGTATCAAAAGAGCAAGATGACATCCCCACCCGTCTCTCCAGTGTCTGGACAGAACTACAGAAGCTGTCCTGCGTAGAATGCAAACTATGCTCATCCAAAGAAATTGGCTGCGGTATCCCCACATGATCCAAATCAGTCCTAAAGTAGGGTGCGTCGTGGGTAGTATTGTTGCTCAAGCACGAATTCTTACATGGTGACGATTTCCCCTGCGCTGATCCTCCCTCCTGTGTCGTCCTACCCTCAATATGGAGAGGGCGCACCTCAACCAAACCCACGGCTCTTTCTGATTTCTGATAGGTTGGGGAAACCAACACCACTGATGGCTTCCCTTCCCTCTTTGAGCGTCGGCTCGGGGTAGTAAATTGCTCAAAGGAGTTCTTGTCTGTCAGGTTGTGCCCATAGTGCACGTCCCAGCCTACCGACCCCACCGTCCGCCGTCTTTCCGGTCGATGATCACCGTTCCGAGGAACCACCGCGATCGACAAAGGATTAACAGGGAACGAGTCGGAGTCATCAGGCGACCTCGAAGGAAACGATCGCGATCGATGGGAATCCATCCCTGCAGATCGGATGGACGAGGTCGGGCTATGCCCCTGGCCCTCCATTCCACACGGGGTCACCGAAGCGCCGCGGAAGGGTGGCAACCCCAACGTGTCACAGTGCCTTGACGAGGCCGTCTTTTCGCCTGTGCACGCGCCTTCCAATCGCCACGGCGGACCCCCCCCGCAGCGGCCTTTTCGAAGCCGCCGTGTCACGGCCCAATGCAGCGGGGGAGGGGTGGTTGCCCTGGGCGGCAGAAGGGGAAAAAGGGGGGCCCGCACCCTACAAGGGCTGCTGGTGGGTCGTGGGCTCAGGTGCGCCGGTTTCCTGCGCTTGCCCAGTGGAGGTGGTAGGAGAGGGGGGGGAGGGGGGGGGGTGGTACTGCGAATCGAGAATATGGAACGCACCTGGGCATCGTCATCCTGTGTGGTCCTGAACTGACCAAAATGCTTTACCCAGGTCTCGGCAGCGTTCAGATTTTGAGACGTGATGGAATATGAAGACTACCGATCGAAATTAAAAGAAACCGATTGCGTCTGAAAGAATGTTAGAAGGCTATGGATTTTGATCTAGCATTACCTCGTGCGAGCAGATTGGTTCGATTAAACACAACTCAGAGAGAAGGCTTGTCTTTTGGGACCCTTTTGTGTTTGTTGTGTTCGTATTTAAAACTTATATAAAGAATCAAGCAAGACAGAAAAAAGGTAAAGCGATCACCATGAAAGTTCAATATCTGCCTTTCATCAAATTTTATAGCATACAGACTTAAAAAGGAACAAATGAAATACATACACTGGTGTGTAATGAATAATGCTTCAAAAGTCATCACATCGCATTAATTTTACAAAAACAAAGGTTAATTAATTAACAAAAAAAAACTCTTTGAAGCTAAAAACATTCCAGTGTATAATTAAAAGATCTTTTTATAGCAAAAAAAATGAAATAATCTAAGAAAAATATATTGGTGTGTCATTCAAGAGTGAAAATTACATGCTTAAAATTAACTAAACAAGTCCACTCATGAGGTCAGAATCAAAAGAAACCCGCCTATAGAAAATATTTCCTGCGTGTGTGGAAGGAATAAAGTAATATGGCAGTTAGGATGTAAAGACAAAAGAAAAGCACTTACTACCTCAATACAGATGTACTATACATCCTTTCAAAAATAAAGGTTTGGATAGTGCCAAGATAGTGGTTACATCTCCGCAAGTTGCCATAAATTCTAAAATATTCTTTGCTTAACATTCATGCCCTCTACATTAACTTTAAAGCTAAAAAATAATCACTTATTTTTCATATTCTTGGCGTGCACACGTGTTTCCATACTTGTCCTAGGAGAAGTAACCAATATCCTCTATTCATTGGAATACTGGATGTTAGGACTAGAATTGAAATTGAAAGCGTGGTAGTTGAATAGAACACCAAACTTAACAGGCGGAAAAATAACACTCCATCATGATATACTGTAAGTAAAATATCTAAATAGTATTCTACAAGATTCATAATAAATAGAACAAAGAATTAATTTTTTTTTTGTCGCTATGAAATATTCAGTGATGTTGATGATGCTATAATGTCAATTTCTTTCCATAAGAGTGTCCTTTTCCTATAGTTTTGGGGAGCATTGAAAGCCCTTTGGCCTTACATATTCTGAGAAACTCCATAAGCGTCTTGTACTGTTAGAGCTGGTCCAGCGAATTGGTGAGGACCTGGTATATACATAGGTTTGAGTGGTGAATTGCCATAGCATGCTGACCGGGTATGCCATGTCTGAGCCAAGGCTATGGTTGAAGGTTTGTATTGTGGTTGATTTACTACAATCTGGGAAGGTGGGCGTAAGTTGATTGGGTACCTTGACATTTTTTCATTCGCATTCGTATTCAGTCGTATGGTCTGGTTTGCGGGTACAGCAGGTGTATCCTCTTCAAGAGAGCCTAGGACGGCATCCCCAGGGCCTGGTTCGTGCCCAAAGTCAACTGCCAAAACACGAAGATGCAGTTCCGCGGTGGTGAACTTTCTGCCCGTAAGAATTACCCACTTATCCTGCACTACCCCACGTTTCATCTCGTTCAACGACAACCGGCAGCTCCCAAGGAGATCCCCCACTGAGATGTTGTCGTTCCACAGCTCAAACAACATTTGCGTGGTCTCGCTGTCGGTAATTTTGAACTTGAAAAGCTCATCCCACACCGGATCAAGGCTATTCTCAACGACCCGGGTTCTGTACTTGACCTTCACACTCCTCTGCTCTTGTAGTTTGACCTTTACATACGGATCAACTTTGCCAATTTTTTGGATATTGCCGACGTTGAGCGCGGCACAGACACGAACTTCCAGTCTCCCCATTAGTGTTTTAATTATTTCTTTCACTATAATGCAAACTTGACTAGGTATATAAGGATAAGTATATAATGATCAAGGAGAATAAGCGTAATTCAATTTGGGGCGGGAGATAAAAAATGCAACTAAGCCTTACAAATGTACCTAAGTGCTTTAAATAGATTTGTAGTTCACAAGTATAAAAGAGTTTCTGAAACTAAGATAGATGATATGGGGATTTTAAAAAAAAAGAAGAAGAAACAATGCAGATTATCAACGAAGAATTTTTATATATAGGAAAAAGCATGACCGAATTGAATAAATAATAAATCAGCTAACACTAATAAGCAGGATTAATTGTCTTTGTAATTTTTATGTACATGCATGCCTTAGATTGTGTCAAATAAATTGTACACTTTAGTGAAAAAATAAGAACAAGAAACCTCTGTGAGGACTCTCCATATTAAATCTTATTGAGGTGAAAACATGCATACCAGAATATTGCCTCCAATTTTGACCGATAATAGTTAGAATCAATAAATCAAAGGGAATATTAAAATTACCATAAAAGAAGAAAGTATTTTTTGAATAAAAATTTAAAGCGGATTAATTTGAATAAAAATATATTTAAAAAATAAATAGTTCAAATAGGTGCACTTGAAGAAGAGAAAAAACGACTCTTAACATATAGTTGAATTCGTTAGAATACCCTTCTGGTGTAATTTGAAAAAAAATCATTAAAAACAAAAAGAATTGCTTCATTCTTTGATATTCATCCCTTGACATTACGTACATAATCATTATTTATACAGCAATTAGTGTCTCCACAGAAAGCATCGACGATGATACCCCTTATATTCACATATACACCTTCGAGGGGGGGGGGGGGGGGGAGGGGGGG